ATACTCCCCATTGTATGTCAAATCTTACACTTCCATGTAATGAATCCTTCAATAATAATACTATAAGTACTTTCCTCAATTCTTCTCTTAATTTTGCCACTGTTAGCACTGATTTACCCTTATCTCACTCTAATAGCTCAACTGCTATATCAACTAATAAATATGTTATGTGGCATACCAGATTAGGCCACCCTAATTATCATGCTCTTGTTGAAATTTTCAAACTCTATAAACTGGCTATTCCCTCTAAACCACCCACAGAAATGTGTCATGCTTGTTGTATTGGCAAGTCTCATAGATTTCCATCATCCTTGTCTACCACAGTCTACACACATCCCTTTGAATTAGTGGTGTGTGATCTCTGGGGTCCAGCCCCTATGCAATCTTCAAGTGGCTACACTTACTTCCTAACTTGTGTAGATGCTTTTTCTAGGTTTGTTTGGGTCTTTCCTCTCAAACTCAAGTCTGACACTATGCTTCAGTTCCTTCAGTTTAAGAAAATGGTTGAACTGCAGTTCAATTGTTCCATTAAGTGTGTTCAAACTGATGGGGGAGGAGAGTTTAGGCCTCTCACCAAGTATCTCACAAATTTAGGAATTGTTCATAGGTTCACTTGTCCTCATACACACCACCAAAATGGTCTTGTTGAACGCAAACATAGACACATTGTTGAGACTGGTCTCACCCTTCTTGCTCAATCCACTCTTCCTTTGAAGTTTTGGGATCATGCCTTTGTTACTGCAGCCTATCTCATTAACAGAATTCCCAGTCCTATCCTTAATAATACCTCCCCTTACTACAAATTACTCAACAAACCACCTGATTATTCCACTCTTAAGGTTTTTGGATGTGCCTGTTATCCTTTCCTGCGCCCTTATAACACTCATAAGCTGGCCTATAGATCTCAACAATGCATCTTTCTTGGTTATTCCTCCTCTCACAAAGGCTACAAATGTCTTGCCTCTGATGGACATATCTACATCTCTAAGGATGTTGTGTTTCATGAAGCTTTGTTTCCTTATTCCTCCTTATTTCCCAATTCTTCCAAAACTTCAGTTCCTTCATTAGTGTCTTCTAGTGCTACATTTGTGCCTCCTCTTTCCATTCCCTTTGCTGCCAGTCAGTCTTCATCTTCCATTTCTCAGTCCTTATCTTCCAATTGTCCTTCCAATCATGCTGGCAGTCACAGTCCCACTCCTTGCTCTCCTCCTTCTAATACTTCTGGTTCTTCTCCTGAATCTTCTACTTCTGCCAGTCAGCAGATGGTCACTCCTGTTCCTCAGCCTCTCACTGCCATTCCTGCTCCCTCCTCTCCTTCTGTCTCTCCTGCTCTAATCCTCACTGATCCAACTGAAACTAGTACCATCTCTCCTTCCTCCTCTCATAATCTTTCTGAACCAGCTACTTCAAGCCCTAATCTCAGCCCTCCTACTTCATCTTTACCTTTCATTCACCCTCAAAACGTGCACCCTATACAAACTAGAGCCAAAAGAAGTATCACTCTACCCAGACTTCATCCTACCCTCCTTTTAACCCACATGGCACCCACTTCTGTTGGTCAGGCCTTGGCTGCTCCTCATTGGTTTCAGGCAATGCAAGAAGAGTATCAGGCACTGATGAGAAATCAGACCTGGATATTGGTGAAAGCTCTTGATTGCAGGAAGCCTATTGGTTGTAAGTGGGTTTTCAGAACAAAGGAAAACCCTGATGGCTCCATAAACAGGTACAAGGCCAGATTAGTAGCTAAAGGATTCCATCAAAGGGCTGGTAGTGATTTCCAAGAGACTTTCTCACCTGTCATCAAACCTGTAACAGTCAGAATCATTTTAACCATTGTTGTTAGTAACAAATGGACAATCCAACAAATTGATGTTAATAATGATTTCCTCAATGGCACTCTTGAAGAGGAAGTGTTTATGCAGCAGCCTCCTGGTTTTGAAGCAGCTGACAAGTCACTGGTGTGTAAATTGAACAGGGCGATTTATGGTTTAAAGCAGGTTCCTAGGGCCTGGTTTGATAAATTGAAGAGTGCACTGGTTCAACTTGGTTTTCAAGCTAGCAGGTGTGATCCTAGTCTCTTTTTCCTGCATCAAGGCAAGCTTCAGGTCATGATTCTGGTGTATGTTGATGATATTATCATCACAGGAAGTTCAGCTCCCTTTATTACCTCATTAATCAAGCACCTCAACAACAAATTTTCACTGAAACAATTGGGACAACTTGATTATTTTTTAGGTCTTGAAGTCTCTCATCTCTCTAATGGTTCTTTGCTTCTATCTCAAACCAAGTACATCTCTGATCTACTGACCAAACTTAATATGCTCAATGCTAATGGCATGCCCACTCCCATGGTTTCCAGCAGAAAATTATCCAAAGTTGGCTCAGCTGCTGTGGAAGACCCAACTCACTTTAGGTCAGTTGTTGGTGCCTTGCAATATGCCACTTTAACTAGGCCTGAGATCTCCTTTTTTGTCAACAAAGTTTGTCAGTTTCTATCCAATCCTTTAGAGGATCATTGGAAGGCAGTCAAGAGGATTTTGAGGTACTTAAGTGGCACTATGCATCATGGTTTACTCATTCAACCTGCCCCTGTCCAGCAGCCTATGCAATTATTAGGATTTTGTGATGCAGATTGGGCATCAGATCCTGATGACAGGAGGTCCACTTCAGGGGCCTGTATCTATCTTGGTCCGAATGTTGTTTCCTGGTGGTCCAAGAAGCAACAACTTGTTGCTAGATCCAGTGCTGAAGCAGAGTACCGCAGCATGGCTCAATTGGCTGCTGAGCTCATTTGGATTCAGTCTTTACTTCAGGAACTTCACTGCTCCTGTCAGGTGCCTAGGATCCTGTGTGATAACTTGAGCACTGTCACTCTTGCTCATAATCCTATCCTACACAACAGAACCAAGCATATGGAACTAGATATATTTTTTCTGAGAGAGAAGGTTCTCAGCAAACACCTCTTTGTAGTTCATGTTCCAGCACATGATCAGTGGGCTGACATTCTCACTAAACCCTTATCTGCTGCCAAATTTGTACCTCTGCGTTCTAAGTTGCGTGTGTTAGACAAAATTGCTTTGAAACACCCACCAACAGATTCTAAGGGGGACTAATAGAGTAGTGGTATAATGTAGTGAAATAAGTGTGACTATTTCAATAGTGGATAGAGTAGTGGAATATGTGTGTGTTCTATTATTGCTGAGCTGGCAGCTTGTTTGTCACAGTTTGTTAGACTTGCTCCACTATATATAGCAAGCTCTTTGTATCTTTCCAATACACAAAAAGTACAATGAAAATTTCTTTCATTCCTTCTATTCTCTCTACATTAACAAAGTCTATCACCTTAACTTTACAACAATCACACCATTGAATTTCAAAATTTTCTCATTAAAGTTTGTTATTAACATGTCACATAGGACTGTCTTCTTCAATTTTTACATCATAAACATGTGTACTAGATTCACAATATCCCCTCTGTCTATGAGCACTAAATTCACATTGATTCCTTATTTGACTTTAGTTTTTACAAACAAAAGCTTAAGGTGACTGACTCTTCATTTCTTCCGATGGTGAGTCAAAACACTTTATTCTAAATAGGTTTGTTAATGGCCTTGGGACATAAACACACTTTTATTACATTTTCTAGATGTTTTTGAGAATCTATCATGTATAATATTTATCACATAACTTATTTATAAACTTTAAATCTTAATTGGACTTTAATGAAATTACTAGGTAATTTTTAATTTAACCCCGTCTTTACCATATCTCACTCTACAAGTCATATTTTAAAATGGAGCGAGTATATGTTAGCATCTATTGTAGCAACAAAATTCGCATCCTAGACCGATTCACTAATTTGAAGTTATTGATGAGATATCATGTATAATATTTATCACTTAACTTATTTATAAACTTTAAATCTTAATTGGACTTTAATGAAATTACTAGGTAATTTTTAATTTAACCCCGTCTTTACCATATCTCACTCTACAAGTCATATTTTAAAATGGAGCGAGTATATGTTAGCATCTATTGTAGCAACAAAATTCGCATCCTAGACCGATTCACTAATTTGAAGTTATTGATGAGATATTAATGTTCAGTTTTAATAATAGTTCAAATTTATGATTCTATATTTGCAAATTCGATTCTGATTGTTGGTTAACAATTGAAATTCGTGTTCGTTTTTAATATAAGTAATAGGAGGATGGTTCAAATCTGAATAAATATCTATCATTCTTTTAAGGAAATAAATATCTAACATGAAATACATACTTGCAAAAGATTATATGACACTTAATAAATTATTTATCAAATTAATATTAATAAGATTTGATTAATTAATTTATAATCAACACTAGTACTAATGGATTCTGAATCATTAACTGTGTTGCGTTGGAAAGAAAGTATACTTGTTTACAAATACAAACCTATTATGACCACATACACTTTAATTCAAGAGAAAAAGACGCCATACATTAGACAACATTTATAGAATTTGATTGGAACCAACCCATGCTATGTCCTGCCGACAAGACCTCTCCCTAAATGATAAACCCTCCATGGAGTGGAATGAAGAGATGTGCGATTAGGATAATCTCTTCATAGTTCAATTCATTGGGAACATGATGAGGCCAATTACCCATCAAGATAGCCTGCCTATGCAAGGATCTTTTCAAGCATTGGATTTTGGGGCAGGAGGTAAATCCGTAAATAGAATAAAAAATTAAGCTTTTATAATCCATAATATACAAAAAAAGCGATCCAAATATATACTGAGATCACTATCAAATTGCAGCCAGGAGAGAAGAAAGACCAGTATTTTTTGGTTACAAGAAAGAAGACGAGTATAATACAAAATCATTTTGTGAAAGAAAACAAAAAAAACTTCCTAGTCGACAATGTGAAAAGAAGAGCCGTAGGCCGTAGCCTCATAGGGTACAAATTCTGATTTTAAATTATCAAGTTCTTCATAAGAATCAACTCAAGCTCAATCTTCAGGAAGATACCACTTGCAAAAGTTCAATATTTAGCTCAAATGTAGCTCCAGGCTGCAACAGCATACATAAAGTTTAACAAGCACAAGTTATATAGGTTTCTCATTTTAGTTAAAATGTAGAAAGCAGGATTTGGGGTGTGATTTTACACTTAGAAGTAGAAAGAAGTGATATGGTTGAAACAGATCTTTACCGGAATCTCATTCATTCCCTTTTGTGCATATCCTTTTTCAGGAGGAACAATCACAGTTCGCTGCAACCATCATTTAAGAGAAGAATATGAATAAGGAAAGAAATGACACTTGAATTCTTAGCTAATAAAAACATCAGATAATACACACTACAACAAAATCAAGAGAGGTATTTCAATCACCTTTCCACCAACTCTCATTCCTTCAACTATTGAGTACATAGCTGGTGGAGGTTTTGGTGATGCTTGTGCGGAGAATAGACCATTTGGGTTGTCTACAAAATCTCGCTTCCTTTCCTTTCCCGGTTGAGCTCCCACCTTGAATTCATATGGCTTTCAAGAGCATAAACCAGGCATATGCATCAGCATTGAGCACCATCAAGTAAAGCTTAAAACAACCATCATGCTTTCTCTAGGCAAGAGATCACTAAAGTATATAAGATATATGACATTTGAGACAGGACTAAAAATGAAACCGGGTCAAGTAAAGGTTAAAACAACCATCATGTTTTTTCTACTTGATAAATCCTACGAAACACGGACGGACACCTCTACGAGTAAGCGTACCACAATGTCCGACACTTTTATAATACTCGTACTACACATATCAGAAAAGTCAGACATTTGTCCTATGTTTTTGACATTATTAGTGTCGGAGTGTCCTGTCGTGTCCCGATGTCCTTGTCACAGTCCGTGATTCATAGAGTAGTTCACTTAAGTATGTAGGACATATCACGTAGGAGACAGAACTAAAAATGAAACTAGAGGTGGTAATTCAACTAGTTTGAGATAAGAGTTAAAGGACCAAGATTCAAACCTTAACGAAGGAGAAAACACTAACACTGCCTATAAAAAAACTAAAAGTGAGACAATTTGGCACATTTTTAGAAAACTTTTACAATTTGCATTGATCTCACACACACACGCACACAAAACCAGACAGATAAATTATTCAAACCTGAGCAATAACACGATTTCCAGCTAGGAGTTTAGATTCTCGACTTGAAATAGCTGTAATTCCGCGATATAAACAATCAAAATGAACCTGTTGGCGAGAGCACGAAATCAAGAGTAAATAACAAATCTGCAATGCAAAAGAATAACATCATCTTCTCCTTTCCAAATGTTAACAAACAAACCTGAACAGTTGAACCTTTTTCGGCTATTGGACCTTTCCCCTCAAGGAAATCATAGTATTTTAATCCATCAGCTGAATCAACCATCACAAAATACAAAACAGATAACTAACATGACACACGTGACACCAAAAAATGAATAAATTAAACTTAATCACAGGTATTGGTGTAGTAATATAAACACTTTTATATAAAATTATAATATTATACAATTGGATTAAGAAACTTAACTAGCATTAAACTTAAACTGATTAACATAAAGTGTTATAAGAGTAAGGAATTACGGGAAGTGAGATAATCATCAATGGGAATGTTGTTCTTTTTGCGTCTCTCTCTGGCATCCGCTGGTGATGGTGGAGAGAGGAAAACGAAGGTGAAAGGCAAGGATGAAATGAGAATCGCCGTGGACCTTCTCGATTGAGAAAGAGAAAGTGCGACCACCGTGAATGGCGGTTGTCTCAACCTGGTGGTGGTTGTGGTGGTGAGATTGGAATTCGAAAGCGCGCCACCTCTGTAATGAACATTCCGTTTCTTTACGAAGAAATTTACGGAATTGCCACTGCAACTGCAACTGCAAGTGTGAGGGGAAGTCATGGCCAATATAATCCTCACCGCGCACCACCTCTAGTTTACGCTATCCGTTTCCATTCTTCAATTTCTAGTCGATACAATTACTCATCTACCCTTTTGTTTCATATTTTTCATCCACTTGAGTAAATGAATGTAGAGTAAAAACAGTTTAAAATTTAAAATTAAAAAAACATATAATAAGTCCCTTTCACCCTTTATATATATATATATATTGTTCTGGACTGGGCCCGACAGGCCCAAAAGCATTACTAAGGCCCAGTCCAAAGGGACTCACTAAGGACCACACTGGACAAAGGGGGTCACGTCCATGCTCGACACCCTGATGTCCACCTCGACATCTCGGCGTCTAGCCCCACGATGAAGTCATGCTCGACAGCCTGCCGTCCAGCTCTACGTCCTGGCTTCCAGCTCGACCCTCGCTGTCCAGCTCGAGGTCTTGGCGTCGAGCTCGGCACCGTGTCGCGTAGCTCGACATGGTCTCGAGCTGACTTGCTAGGGCAGACTTAGTCCTCCATTGCCCCAACGATACTCCGGAAAGACCGCGTCTCCGTCCGCCCGCACTTCATGCAGCATATCCAGGAAGGGGACCACGTGCTGGTCCCCACTACCCACGTAGGACCTGGCAGTTCCTCCATTGGGCCAAATCCGCCCGGCCCAATGAAGGAACCTTGGCCCAGCGCCGGGGGCTATAAATACCCTCTGCTTCCAGAGGGTCAGGTATTCATCATTCTAACCTCAACTCTATTATCTGCTAGTACTCCCACTGACTTTAGCATCGGAGTGCCTTGCAGGTACCCCCCCCCTCCTCGTTCAAAAAGCCTTCAGCTCGGAGTAAGCCGTGACGGTCCAAACCTTCTGATCAGGTCAGATCAGTGGCGCCGTCTGTGGGAAACAGCTTCCCCGTCTAACGAACAGTTTCAAAGACCAAAGCTCAATCCATTCACTGTCATGGCTACCCCAACTCGTGAAGAACAACACACCCGCGTCCTCAACACCAACAACGGTCCTGCGGACAAGAATGGGCATCTGGACAATCCCAGTGATGCCGGCCACAATACCATCCCCGTGACAACCGCCCCTGGACCTTCCACTCGCAGGGACGGGAACACTGCGTCGTCCTCGACACCTCCTCCAAGACTCGAAGACGACCCGGAGGCTCTCGCCTATCGCCAAGCTGCCCGGTTCCATGAAGTCCAAGTCCCTGCCGGGGCAGATGCCACGACTCAGGCACTGTTCGCGGCCATCAACCAGACGAACTATCTCCTGTTCGCCCAAGGAGAAAGGCTAAGGGCACTTGAAAATGATCGACGCCCCCCGAGGAGACATCAAAGGCCACCATCTCCACCTCCTCGGGTCGAAGAAGTTCGACACCCTACTCCCCCGCGGAGACATTACAGGGAGAACTCTAGGAGCCCCTCTCCCCCACCAAGGCAGAGGCGGCCCCAGTATGAAAGACAGCCCGTCATCCCTGCCGAAGAGCCCAGTCGCGACCCATCAAAGCACGACAGGAGGCATAACAGAGACGGGCGTGTGACCTTCAATCACCGAGCATCACGCTCGAGGGAATCTCAGCACGACCAGCGTGCCAGACATCACTACAGGACCCCTTCTCTTTCTCCAGAAAGGAGCGACGAGGACGACCCCCGCGGTCCCCTGTCGCAGGCCATCATGGACGCACCTATTCCCCCGGGCATGGAGAAGCCCCCACACCTAAAGGAGTATGATGGAGTGGCAGACCCAGTCGACCACATTGACGGGTTCGAAGCCATGCTCCACTATCACAATGTCGGGGGGCCCATCAAATGCCGTCTCTTCCCAACAACTCTCAGGAAGGCGGCCATGGACTGGTACAAAGGACTTGCCCCGGGCTCCATCACCTCGTGGCGGAACTTGAAGAATCAGTTCATCAGTTCCTTCACGGCCTCTCGTCGCCACCCGAAGACCGAGGCAGCCCTCGAGGCCATCATCCAAAGACATGATGAGACCTTGAGGGAATTCATCAATCGCTTCAACCGGGAAGCAATCCAGGTCCCCTGCGCGGACCACATGAAGAGGTACTTGCTGGAGATGGGCCTCCTCCCCGGCACAGAATTCAGGAAAGCTGTGGGCATTGAGCCACCTGCAACTTTTGATGCTCTCCTCGACAAAGCCCGAGCATACATGGACTACGAGGAGAGAGAAGCTGCCAACAGGGCACGAGACTCCAGGGCTCGCAATCATGGCAGCAGCTCGAGACAAGACCCTCCTCCCCGACGCACCGGAGAGAAGAGGAAGGAAGACAGACCCCGGGAGGTCCGGGAACAAAGGGGCCCCTCGGGCAGGTTTACTGAGTACACTCCGCTCACGGCTTCCCGCGAGCGTATTCTGGCGAAGTGTGCAAGCACAGATTTTAAAGACGGTAGCGTCAAGCGTCCCCGACCAGCTCCTGCCAAGCCAGGAGTAGACAAAAACAAGTACTGTCAGTACCATAGGAGTCATGGTCACTTGACAGAGGACTGCGTCCACCTGAAGGATGCTATTGAAACCCTCATCAAAGGAGGGAGACTTGCACAGTACAGGCGAAACGACGCTCCCCGTCGTGAAGCCCGCGAGGCAAAGGAGCCCGAAGAAGACGCCCGACCATCCGACGAGTCGGTGCCAATCCAGACCGCCTTCTCGGTAACCAGGCCCGAGGACTTCGAACTTCCCGAGCTCCTGCAGGAGCCCCTGACGACACACAGCAGGTGGGAATACTTCCCCTCCGCCATGGTCATCAACGGGGGCGGGTTCAACGACCTCACCATCAACTCAGCCAAGAGGAAGTTGGACGAACTGGTCGACAAAGCTCCTCCTCAAACTGTGACTTTTGAAATGGTGAGGGGCAGATCAGAGCCTATCACCTTCTACTTGGAAGAGCTCCCCGGCGGAGCACCGAACGCAGTCATCCCCTTGCTGATAAGGGCAAAGATGGCCAATTTTGACGTGCATCGCATCCTGGTCGACGAAGGGAGTTCCGTCGACGTGATGTACACTCAGCTGTTCCGGACCTTACAACTGGACGACTCACATCTGTCTCCATATATAGGTTCGGACCTTCAAGGCTTCAACGGCTCGACGTCCAAACCTTGGGGATATGTCGAGCTCCTCGTGACGTTCGGGGAAGGAACTGCTACAAGACAGGTGAAGGTCCGCTTCCTCGTCATTGACTGCCCGTCCCTGTACAATTGCATCTTGGGGAGGCCGACATTGGCAGAGCTGACAGCGGTTCCCTCAACTGTCCATCTCAAAATGAAGTTCTACACCAAACGGGCAAGGGTAGCCACCATCCAGGGCGACCTCGCTGCTGCCCGCAGGTGCTTCAACGCCGCCTCAAGGGGTCGGGATACTGTCGATGTGGGTCCCAGCACTAGGCCCATCAAGAAGACAAAGCAAGAGCCCGACAGAGCATCTCCTGAGGTAGAAGTTCAGAAGGCTCCACCAAAGGTCGACTCCATTGCGCTCGACGCCCGTTTTGACCAAGACGAGCCGGCCAGCAGCGAGCAAATCCCCCTCCGACCTATTCCGGACGGAGATTTCGAACTCGTTCCCCTCGGAGCAGACCCGACCAAGGGAGTGAAGATTGGCAAGGACCTCCCCGACTTAGCCAGGAAGCAAATCAAGGCCTGTCTGCGCGAGAATGCTGATCTCTTCGCCTGGAGCGCTGCAGAGATGCCCGGACTCGACCCTGAGGTCGCCTGTCATCACCTCGCCATTGATCCAGCCGCCAAGGCAGTAGTACAACGTAGGCGTAGGCAGTCTCCAGAAAAAACGGAGGCTGCTGAAAAAGCTGTAAAAGACCTCCTAGAGGCAAATTTTATTTCTGAAGCCCGGTACTCCACCTGGCTGTCAAATGTTGTACTTGTTAAAAAGAATAATGGAAAATGGCGAATGTGTGTTGATTATACCGATCTCAATCGGGCTTGACCGAAGGATGCTTTTCCTCTACCAAACATTGATATGCTGGTCGACAACTCGGCCGGCTACAAAACTTTGTCGTTCATGGACGCTTACTCGGGATACAATCAAATCCCAATGGCTCCGGGCGACAAACGCTGCACGGCGTTCATGACCAGCTCGGGCAACTATTACTACAACGTAATGCCCTTCGGACTAAAGAACGCCGGCGCGACATACCAACGCATGATGAACAAAGTGTTCAACAAACAGATCGGCGACATGCTCGAGGTGTACATGGACGACATGATCGTCAAATCTCGAGCAGACACCGATCACGCAGCTCACCTCAAGACTGTCTTCGCCCAAGCAAGACAATGCAAAATGAGGTTCAACCCGGAGAAGTGCACATTTGGGGTTAAGGCAGGAAAGTTCCTCGGATTCTACCTAACAGAACGAGGCATTGAAGCCAACCCCGACAAGTGCCGAGCATTCGCCGACCTCCCGACTCCAACGTCGAAGAAGTCGATACAGATAATGAACGGCATGTTGACATCACTTTCACGCTTCGTCGCGAAGTCCGCTCAGCACGCCCTTCCTTTTTTCAAACTCCTTCGAAAGGAAGCAGCCTTCGAATGGACCGAGGAATGCGAACACGCACTTCGCCATCTGAAGCAGAGCCTGTCTCAACCGCCCGTGTTGTCTCGACCAGATGACAACGAGCCACTTTACCTATACTTGGCAGTTTCAAACGAAGCCATCAGTGCAGCTCTTGTCCGCGAGACTCCCGACGGGCAGAAACCTGTCTACTTCACGAGCAAAGCCTTACAAGGCCCCGAGAGCAGGTATCAACAAATAGAAAAGGTTGCACTGGCCCTCGTCAACGCTGCGAGGAGGCTCAGACACTACTTTCTAGCACACACCATCATCGTACGAACCGATCAACCGGTGAGACAACTCCTGGGTCGGCCAGATATGGCGGGCAGAATGCTTAAGTGGTCCCTGGAACTCTCTGAATTCGACATTCAGTACGAGAGCAGGAAAGCCCTGAAAGCACAAGCCTTGGCCGACTTTGTCGTCGAGATGACCAC